CCCGCGGGCCAGTCCGCCACCGCAGCCGCCGCCGCCGCCTCTGCCGCGGCGGGCAGGTCGGCGCCCTGCTCTTTCAGGGCCCGCACCACGCGGCCCACCAGGACCTCGGGCGCCAGCTTGACGCTGCTCTTCTTTGCGACGGCTCCTGGGGACGTGGTCAGGGCCAGCACGGCGGTGGAGGCCAGGGCCTCTTTGGGGCCGATCTCGAGCCGCACCTGAGGGTCAAGGGGTTTAGGGGTTGAGGGTGTGAGTGAGGGCGCCGGGGAGGCGCGGCTCTCGAGAGGGTGCGTTGTGGGCACCTTGTGACGAGCAGGGCAGGGGTGCAGGGAGGGGGCTGCCCGGGCGCGTTTGCCGGTGGCGTCGGAGGCGCTGCCGAGTCCCCCACACCGCGCACGCGGCCGCGCCTTGGGCGGCGCGCAACAGCGACGCGGGGCTGGGGGACCCCGAAGCGCGGCGGGGCCCGCCCACCTTGATGCCTCGCATCTCCCAATACTTCATCTGCACAGCACGGGAGCATGATGGTGGGTCAGGATTAGTCAGGATCAGCGCAGTGCGCAGCGTGCGCGAGGGTCCCCTTTTCAGGGCGAGGGACAGCAGCAACGGAGATGCATCCCAGATTTGCATAAGGCCGGGGATGGCACCACTGCGTAGCACGCCGCTTCACCACCAGGGCTCCCGTCGGCGGCGACCCGCACGCCGCATGCAGCTGACCCTCCGCCAGCTGCCGCGGCCCCCCCTTTCGCGACCTGCCCCGGCGCGCCGCCTCCCGCCGCCAGCCCCGGCGCACCGAGTCCCTCCGTGGCCGGGCACCCCAACAAGCAAAGCCCCCAAAGACCACGGCCCGCGCCCCACCCAAGGCGCTGCCGCCGCGGCCGCACCTTCTGGCCCGGCGTGTACTTGTCGCCCTCGTCCACAGCCACGTCGAGCCCCGCGCCCCTCAGGGCGTCCGCCGCGCGCTGCGCCGCGCCCAGCACGTCCTGCTTCTCCTTGGCGCGCTGGTTCCAGTAGATTGGCAGCACGATGGCCTGGTGGCAGGTGGTGTGTGTGTGGGATGGAGGGTTAAGGGGATATACGAGTGTGGGCGAAGGCACACGTGAGTATTTGTGCGTTGTGCGTCGGTATGTGCGTGTGTATGCGATGGATGGAACAGGAGAGAGAGAGAGAGGGGAGTGCACTTTTCGCTTGCGTATCATACATAATCATCAAGAGTGTGTGGAAAAAGTGTGTGAAATTGTCTTCCGTGCGCGCGAGCCTGAAGCAAGCGAAGCCGGCCACCGCCTGGCGGCCCAACAGCCAGCTCGACCGCTCGACGCTCGCACCCGCCCTCTCAATCGCTCAGCGGCCTCCCGCCCAGAACAGCCAGCGACCCAACCGTCCTAAGGCCAAGCGAAAAGCCCGCGCAGCATGAAGCTCGCACAATGAATGCCGGCACGCTTACATGGTGGCTGCAGCGGTGGGCCTTGCCCGCCTTGAGCTTGACCCGATCAGCCCTCTTGACCTTTTTCACGCCGCCGCCCGCTGCGTCGCCGCCCCCCGCGCCGCCGCCCTGCGACTTGCGCAGCTTGTGCGGGTTGTACGTCTTGCCCGCCGCGCGCACGTTGAGCGCGATCTCGCGGCGGCGCCGCTGCTCTGCGCGGCGCTTGCGCTCCTCTGGCGGCAGCTGCTGCGCGTCGTCGGCGGCGGCCGCCTGCTTGAGCTTGGCCCGGCGCCGCGGGTTTGGGACGTGCTTGTGCTTCTTCGCCGCCTCGGCCGCTGCCGGGGCACCCGCGCCGTCGTCGGACATCGCCAGCGAGATGCTGAGACGAGGGCACAGAGGCTTGCCCTGAACTGTGACGGGCCGCCGCTGCTGCCGCCCCCCCTCACACGGCTGTGTTCGAAGATGTCGGCCTGGTGGCAAAGCTGGCACACGGATGCGTTCCAATTTAACCTATGGCCACTCTACACAGGCAGATAAGAGCCCGTGTGACGACGGCGGGCCTCGAAGACTTCTCCAGAACAGATCGGCAAAAGCTGTGAATAGTCCTATTGGTAGGTAGTTGTTTTCAAGTACCAGGTTGCTGTACGAGTACCGTAGCATTGACGGTCCACCAGACGTCAGGTGCAGTCACCCACCCGGCGGTCACCCAGGCGATGAAGGTTGCCTTGTGCTTGATGTTGCTGTACGTGTCAGACAGCGACGTTGAAATGTAATCTTCTACGCTCATGCGGCGAAGATAACCCTACCGTTTGTTGCCAGGCGATCTCTCTTGGCACGCGTTCTGCAGGCATGTATCGTGAAATACTGACTCAGCGACGTAGTTAAAAGCCTGCTACACGCCGAGCAGGCCCTCGCGGGGGCCGCTTCAACTGCAGACGCGCAGGAGCACGTCGTACACGCAGGCGTCATGGCAGAGCCCGATGCGTACGGCGCATGGCGGCAGGTGCAGCAGCAGCTGCAGCACCACCGCCAGCAGCAGCAGCCGCCCGATCCCAGCCAGCAGGGGCACAAGCAGCAGCAGCAGCAGCGCACGACGCCGCCCATGTGGCTCGTCGTGTGGGTCGCCGTCGCGTCGGAGTGGCTGCGCGGCTACATGGGCGGCATGTTTTTCGGCGCCAAGATCATCCTGTCCCCACGCTGGCGCTCCATGCTCCTCAACACGCACATGCATGTCAACAAGAAGGAGATCGTGTGGGACCCGACATCCCTGAGGTGCAAGCGCTTCGAGGGCGCCGCGCCGCGGCCCGACCAGGAGGCCGGCGTGACGACGAGCGAGCTGCTGTTCCCGCTGCTCGGCGCTGCGCTGGCGGGCTGGCTCACGCGGCGCGTAGGGCGCCGCACGTCGGTCATGATCGGGATCGTGTTGATGTGTGTAGGTGAGCGCGCGAGGGGCGGGCCCGCAAGGGGGCGCCGAAGGCTTGTCCTGCGCAGCGGGGCACCCCGCAAGGTTGCTGTGCTATGCAGACTCACGCCGGCGCGACGGACCACTGCGGCCGCGCCCTCGCCGCATGGTGCAGGCCAGTTGATGGCGGGCATCACGGCGCAGTACCCAATCTACATCGTCGGCTCAGATATATACTCAGGAGGATCTGTCATGGTGATGCAGGTGCGGCGGGGCAGCCTCTACAGCTGCCAAACAAGCCGCAGCGGCGGCAAGACCACATAGCAGGAAATAGCAGGAAAGAGATAAATCACATTACGCGCTTGGCGAATGAGTTACATGCTCCACCGCCCAATCTCCCTCGTCCCACCCTGCCCCTCTCGACCACCGGGCTCCCGCAGCCCCAAAACACCAACAACTCCCTTATCCCAACAAAATGCCAACCAGGCCATGCTAATAGAGGTGATCGAGGTCGTTCCCACAACTTCCCGCGGCTGGCTGACCTCCCTCGGCGGCGTGGCCTCGAGCGTCGGCTTCGTGATGGCAGGGCTGGTGGTTTTGGCGATCCAGACCGCCCAGTGGAGCCTCGCCAAGTGGCAGTGGGGCTTCAGGCTGAGCCTGCTCATGGGGATCTGGCCGGCGGTGCTGCTGCTGCTGGTGGTGCCGTGGTGAGGCGCCGCGCGGGCGCGGGGGCGCGGGGTCACGGGCTTCTGCCTCGGGTGGCGGACGAGGCGGCCTGGAGCTGGGCCATTCGGTGGCGGGCGCGGACTTGAAAGTATTCGAGGCGCGGCCAGCCACAGCGCCTGTTGCCGCTGCGACTGGGGCTGGGAGTCGTGCAGACCTCCCCTCCCCTGCCCTCATCTCCCCTCCCCTCCTCTCCCCTCCTCTCATCATGTATCCTCTCATCATATCTCACCTAATCTCGTGCCTTCCTTGTTTCGTAGGATGCTCGACACCCCCAGCAGCCTGCTACAGCGTGGGAGGCTCCACGAGGCGCGGCAGGCGCTGCAGTCGCTGAGAGGTACGCGCCTTTGCCTGCGAGGGGCAGGGAGGGGGGCGCCGGGGCTGTTCGCCGCATGCTTTGGGCGCCAGGCTTTGCCCACCTGTTGCGATCAAGGCGTCGCAAGACACGCGCGCCCTATCAGCAGTCCGTGTCCTGCTGGCTGGCCCTAAAAGCTGCAACTGGACCGACCCCTTGGACTGTGTGCTTGCCTGCATGTTGTGTGTGTGTGTGTGTGTGTGTGTGTGTGTGTGTGTGTGTGTGTGTGTGTATTTGTGTGTATATTTGTGCGTGTGTGTATACGTGTGATCGCGTTTGAATCTTTTGCGCATATGTGTGTGCACTGGCCACGCAGGGGAGTTCTCTGACGTCCGTGAGGAGTACGAGGCGGCTGCAAAGGCTGTGAGCGAGGGCAAGGTGGGCACGCTCACGCTTGCAGACGCGGCGCTGCATACCGTGTGCGGCGCCTCGTGTGCATGCGAACTGCGGCCCACAGCTCAGCACGTTCACGTTGGAGGTCGGCCGTTGCATCGCACGCGAGCCTCTCCGCTCCGCCTCGCCAGCTGAAGCGCCTACCATTTGAATTTTGGATTGGATGATCCGGCGACACGTGTGCTGCAACCCATGAGCCCAACCCTTTCCCCATGTCTCATGTCAATGTGTGTCCCGCAGGGCCGCACCCAACTGAGCCTGCTGTCTGAGCCCCAGCAGCGGCCGGCGCTGATCCTTACGGTGTGTCTCGCGGTCTTCTCCGCTGCGCTGGACCCAAGGTGAGCGGCGCCTGGGGCGGGATGCGCAGCAGCAGCGGGAGCAGCAACAGCATCAGCAGCAGCGACCAGCGTTGGCGAAGACGCATGGCTTTCTACTGCTGGCGACCTGCCTGCTGTCACAGGGATGGGCCTCCCCAGGCTTGCTGGACGTGCGCATCCTGTCCCGCCAAAAGGCATTCGGCGCCGCCGCTGCTGCCACAAGACCACTGCATCACCACACCCCCGCAGGTGGATCATGGACCCAGACACAAACCTCTTTGGCGCCACCGCGGCAGTGGTGCAGATGCCTGTGCTGTACACCACCCTCCTGCCCTCCATTGCCGGCGTCACTGGTGGGTCGGCGCCGCGGCGCCCGGCGTCGGGGCTCGGCCGCACCCCTTGTTTGTTCGCTTGCCAGTATTGCGGGGCATGCTCATCCGATGGATCTGCAGTTTGGCTGTGGTCATCATTGGTTGCTCGCTTGATCGCATATCCCGGCGCAGCACGCACAAAGGCGTGCGGCTGGTTGCCTGGATGAGCTGGCGCCTGCACTGGGCCAGCCCGCACGCCTGGCCGTCCACACTTTGGCCTAATAAACTGCCCTGTTTGGCTCGCTTCGCCGCGCGCAGGCGCCGTCATCTGCTGCTTCATAGTCGACCGCATCGGCCGCCGCGGCCTCATGGCGGGCTCCGCCGCGGCGCTGGCCGTGCTGGCCGCGGCGCTGGCGGGCATGATGGGGCGCTACGTGCGCACGGTGGCACAGGGCCGCGACTGGGACGCGGGCGTTGGTGGCGTTATGCTGCTGCTGCTTTACCTCATACACGTGCGATCTGGGGTTGGTCGAGCAAGCCGTCATGCCTTGCACCCGAGCCCTCGCCCCTCGCCCGCATGCGCTCGCCTGGAGGTCGTGGCGGCGGCCGCGGTTCCAGAATCGTACGCCACGACGGCATGCAGACGAGCGCAGTTTGGGCTCGTCCGAGGGGCTGTCGCGTGCTGAAGGGCCAACAAAGCAGAGCCGCTGCGTCACTGCCCATCAACCGTCTGCGCTGTATCCATCACACCACTCCCTGCTCGTCACCCTCGCCGCCCATCACGCACGCACACACCCGCCCTGCCCCCATGCACAGCTCATCAGCAACGTCGGCTGGTGAGTGCGCCGCGCGCCGCACGGGTCGTTTCCCCCCCCCCTTCGGCGCGCTGCTGTTTGGGCACATCGCCGTGTGTTGCACCGTGCCATACCCGCTTACCCAGGCATGCAGCGACGCGCCCGGATGCCGCCTAGCCTTGTCCCCTCCCTCAATGTCTCTGATGCCCGTGGGTCTCCCCTGCCTGTTTCCTTTTCCTTTATCAGGGGCTCCGCCAATCTCATTCTCGTGGCCGAACTTCAAACCATCAACACGCGCTCTGCGGGCGTCGCCACGCACCTGGGGCTGCAACTAGTGATCTACAGATCGGTGCACCACCTCATGACCCATCAAAAGTGTGACGCACAGCTGGTGGCTGTCGCTGTCTATTCTGGCATGGCAGCGCTTGCAGCGGTGAGAATCTGTTTTTGCCTTGCTAGATGACTTCTGGTCAACTTCTGGTGACCCTTCCACCGATTCTGGTCAACTTTACGTCGACTATGGGGCTATCCTGCAAGATGCGGCGCCACACTGTTCCGTCAGAGTTGCGGGCGTGTCCGCCAGCCGGAGTGGCCTGGGCTTGCACAGCAACAACCTGGTCTGCCCTGCTGTGCAGTACACAAGCAACCGCAAGCAATGTGCATTTGGCTGCGAGCCCAGTAGCCCACAGCTTGTCGCCTGCAATCACGACCCAACTCTGCTCCTTGCGCCCTCTCAACTTCCATTTCCCACCGCCAACACCCTCCCCTACCCCAGGTGTTTGCCTGGCTGCTAGTTCCAGAGACCAAGCTGACCCCTCTTGACGCCATCCCCCGCCAATGCGTCTTCACGCATTGGCTCTGGCATCGCTTCGCGCCACTCGCCGCGGCCTCGCTGCGGCGCCACTCAAGTTTGGGGCCGCTGCCGCCTGCGGCGCAAGCGCGCAGCGGCGCCTGGGGTGGTGTGGACGGCAGCGGGGGCGGCGGCAGAGGCGCCCGCGGCGGCGCGTCAGCATCTGGTTTTGACAGCACACTTGCAGGTGCGCGCGAGCAGGTCGTGAGGCCACCCCTTGATCATCAACACGCCTTAGTGCCTTCCGCTCCCCTAGCGGAACGAGAAGCTCCTGCTGACGCCCCGCGTGCTTGCCTCCTGCACCTCCCATCCCTGCCGCCCCAGATGCAAACGGGAGGGGCGCTCAACCCGCGGTCGACCCCTTGGACAGCACTGCCTTGCTCCTGGATGCTCAGCGTGAGGACGGCGCAGGCGGCGGCGCGTAGCCTGGGGGCCTGCTGGGGTGTTCAGGCCCGGAGCACTGTGCAGCTCCTCTCTTAGGCTGGTCGTTTTGAGCTCGCCGGCCATTGATTGTTTCGCAGCGCGACTGTCGCCGGACTACTGCGTGCGCTGGTGGGCCCTGCGGCGCATGACAGAATACCGACGTCGCCTGCACGCCCCGCAGCCGGCACGCGCCCCCACCCCGCCATGCGCCAGAGCGCGCGCTGGGACCTGCATTGTTGTGCGCTTTGGCGTTTGAACTGTTCTTGCTGATCGATCCCTGCTTGTCCTGGTGCATCTTGTGGCTTTTGAGGCATGTTCCCCCAGCACCCTCAGGAAGCCAGGGGTGGGGCAGCGTGGCTGTCAGCCAGTGCCCCAGCTGACGCTTCCTTGGCAGCCGACCTTCCTCCCTTGACACTGGAGCGGCAAGCCCACATTGCTAATTAGGTTTCAATCAAAAGGCATGCAGCAAGACGAGGCTGCTGCTGTCCTGCTGCTATGACGCGCTCCAACCCCCCCTTGCAATTGGACGCATTTTGATTGCAGCCATGCTGTCATGCCACCCATAAAAATGGCAACCCTGTTCGTCAAAACAATACGCAGCAGTGGATTTCCCTGGTGTTGTAGGGTGATTCTCTGCAGGCTAGCTTCCAAAACGCCCTTTTGACGCTGCCGGCCTGCTGGCGTTGACTTGTGAATGCGCACGTTTCCGCTTCTCGCAGGCCCTCTGGCCTTGGCTGCAGCCCCCCAATGCCAGGCTGCAATTGCGGCCTAGAACTGGTCTGACTCGGGCCACCTGTCCCTGCGAGGGGCGCCTGCTGCCGTCGCACCGTCATGTTGCCTGTCTACGGACGGCCACTTGGGCAGAGGCGCCCCCGGGTCCCGCTGTTATCAACAGACCTGCACCGATCGGAGATGCGCCGCAATGATGGAAGGGACTTGTAAGAGCCCCCAAAGGCCAGGTGGCTGCGATAGCTGTGCGCCACGACCTCGTAATGCCTGGCTTGAAGCAAGCAATTATGTGGCAGGTTTGCTGTGATTGAGCAGGTGTTGGTTGCCATGCTGCTGCAAGGGCTCGCTGAAAGTGTAACATACAAGGTTGGCCAGCCGTAAGATCTTTGCAATGCAATCTGTGCTCTGCTGCATGCTGTCGCCGAGAATGTGCCGTGTCTGTGTGTGAAACGGTGCGACGTGCTGCGTCACTTGCGCGGCGTGTGACGGGGAACCAGTGTTGTGCGTATAAAGTAAACGTGATACCTACAAGATTGAAAAAATCACCCCACGGCACGTGCAACAGCTAGATCTCGTACTGTAGCGGAAATTCAAGTGCACTCTCGGCCTCGGCGCGGTAGTACGGCTTGATTTATAGAATCTGATTCACCGGATCGTACACTTCAACCAGACCTCAAAAGCTCGGAACCATTCTGCATCAGGTGTGAAGCAAGCACCCGCCAGCGCAGACAGGTTGGCATTGTTGGCAGTGCCAGCAAGAGCAGCAGCAGCGGCAGCGGCCCAAGCCGGTAGCGGACACAGGCGCCGGTCAATGGAGGATACAGTATGGGGCTCCGCCTGCATGCAGTGCGGCAAGAGTGTCCGGGACGCAGGCCACCCCATGCTGCGCTGCGGTCGCTGCCGCTGCGCACCGTATTGCAGCAAGGAGTGCCAGGTGGCCGCATTCCCCCAGGTGCGCGGATGCTCTCAGTCTCGATCGGAGAATAATTGAAGGATCATCCATACAGGGCACACGCTTGGCTGCATGAGTCAGGGCTGGCGATGCGGCGCGATGGCGGCACCTTGTCTTGCAAGGATTCAAACTTGACTGCTGATGCATGCGAGCGCATGCACATTTACACGCACACTCCCTCTCTCACACACAAACACATACACACGCGCGCGCACACACACACACACACACACACACACACACACACACACAAATACACACACACACACACAGCACAAGCGCTACTGCAAGCGCATGGTGTTTGGCACCATGGCAGACCTGCGGGCGTCACTCACACAACGCAAGACCGTGGACCCAGACCACCCCCTGCTGGTGGCGGCCAGGGATCGCCTTGAGGACGAGCCGGCAGACCGGCGGGCGCAGTTCGACGTGATCGCGGCCAGGATCTCGGTGGGCCACGCAGAACAGGGGCCGCGGCGCCTGCGGCCGCATGGGGCTGGGGCGTCCGCGATGTGGACGGCGGCGCGAAGCAGTATGTCAACTTGAGTGCACCTGGGTAACTAGCAACCTTGCGCGTGCACATGCAAACACACACACACACACACACACACACATTCTTACATACACATGCACACACAAACCTACACTGAAAACACGGGGACACACACACACACGCATGTGCACGTGCGCCCACACTCCAGGCAAAGTTCCTCGGGAACCTCTATGACGACGTCCTGCCGGCAGAATCTGAGGAGGGGCTCTGGGGCCTGAGCGGCGACCCAAACAGCCCTGGCTTCAGAAAAGTCTACTGGTGAGTGCGGCTCGCTCGGCACCCGCCGCGCACCTGATGAGGTAGCGGGAAGGCCGCTGCTGTTTGGTGCAGGCGACACGCGGACACACAGGGGCCAAGCAAAACTACTAGCCCCTGGGCCCACGCAGAGCTGGCTGCTGCCGCAGAAGCCTAGCCTGCCCAGCTCACGCTGCCGCCTGCCTCTTTTGCTTCACCTTGCCCTCCACCCCCAGCGCCTGGCAGCACGCTGCCAAGTGAGCTGCACCCTGTGTGCTCCCGGCGGTTGTGGCCGGCGGACAAAAGCATCATGGCCGCAACTTATCTGGGGTGTCTAAAACGGGACCCCCTGCCGACAGCCGCAGCCGCTGCAGGCGCGCCACACGCCTTGCAGCCATGACCGATGCGGCGCTGCGCGCGATCTCTGATGCAGGCAGCTTGACCAGGCACCCTCATGCTGCGGTGCCCTGCCTCCCTGGCAAATTCCGTACAGGGAGAGCGCCTTCCGTTTTGTTGCGAACATATGTACAACTGATTGACCACCAAACCGCACCCCCCCCCCCCCAAGGTCAAGCGACCTGACGGCAACCCAGCTGTTTGAGGCTCTCACAGACACGGCTTCGGGCTCGGCGGCGCTAACGGCGCTGCTGACAAAGGGCGTGAAAATGATCTGCACAGGTGAGCAAGCCGCTTGTGGGCCGCCTCTGGAGCGCCACCTACTGGGATTTCGGACCCTGGGCCACTTTCTTGGTGGGGCATGTTGCCATTGCCTTCGAACAGTGTGCTCCCAAAACTGTTGAAGTTTGCAAGCGCCCAGGCTGCTTCGCAGGTGTGCATGTGCATGCCTGACGCCTGCTCTGGATGTGGCCCGCCTGTCCAGCATCATACAAGTCGATTATTTTTGCCAGCACCTGACAGCTACCGTTCATTGGTCCTTGCCCCTCCCTCTGCTAGAGGACGATGACCCCTCCCTGATTGAGGCGGCGGTGCAGCGCCACCTGGCCAATGTCCAGGGGCTCTTCATCCAGTCGGACGTCGACATGCTCCCCCTGGGGCCGCGCGCCGAGGATTGACTTCTGAGTAGACTCCTTGCGCTGCAGTAATCTCACAGGCGTTGGACATTATATACACGTCATGGACTCGCGCCCATCCAAGCGCGTCGCCACGGTGCCTACCAAGACGGCAATGGGTGGCGTGTGCCCGGCTGCCCGCCGCTCGGCGGACACCCAGGGGTCATACACTGCTGCGGGATTATACACTGTTGCGCTGCCGCTGGGCCTTGGGGGTTATGCCCTTGGGGGTCCTGTGGTGTGGACGCGGCGCCCTTGCCGCCGTGACGACGTTTTGATTACAGATGGCTTTCGCAGGCGCACCGCCTGATGACGCTCTGGCATGCAGTCTGGCACTGCATCGATGCAGGCGCTCAGAGATGCACCCGTGAATGCGCGCGCGCTTCCAGTCAGCTTTCGCCGCCAACAGCGTGGGCGCGCACGCATGTACGGCAAAACGCGGGGCACACAGCTGAAATCAAGGAATCCAGCGCTGCGGCCGCCGAGGCCCAGGTGCACCAGCCGGGCTGTGGTTTGACCAGCCCTGCCCAATTTTTTGTGTGGTGGCGGCGGCACCTCGGGCATTTCGCGCAGCCCACGTGTTAAAAAGTGGTGTACAACAGGGTTGAGATCAGGTGCAATAACCATAGCGCTACAGCCACCACCCAGTGGGGTTGTGGGATGTTGCACAGATAAAGTACAAAAAGGGACGGCTGGGTGCCCTTGAACCCCAAGGGGGGGCGGGCCCAGGGAGTCCCAAAAGGGGGACTTTTACACACTTCGTCAATGCGTATGTCGCAGGCGCAGGCACTAGCACAGCAGTAAAACACCGCTGACTGCATGGATCGGCAGACGCGACGCCACCCGCCAACGCGCCAAAACGAGGGGTTGGACCGCTCTCAAGCCTGCGGCTCGCAAAACGTGGGCCACATGCGGGCACCGCCACGCACAGCCGCAAAATCAGGAATGGGGGGATCATGCACATGCAGCTCTACGGACGAGGGACCTGCCAGCAGAGCGTCCTTCCGGCTCCCTCGCTCTTCCCATGACCGCAGGGCAACGCTGCGCCCCTCGGCAAAGCCTGCATCAAGGGGCGCTGCGTGCAGACCGGCAATAGCAGCAGCCGCCTGGCCAGGCGGCGGCCCTGATGCAGGTGCGTGGTTGGCCGCTGCCCCCCTCGCGCCCAAACGGAGCACTGGCCAAGTGGCCGTGCCTCCTCAGAGGTGCTTGTCGCCTCAGCTTCTCACCGGCGCTTCCGCCAGGGGTGCCGGACGCCGGACACCCGCGCGCGGGCGCCGTTGCGGCACCTGCGGCTGCTGCGGCCGCGTCTGTTTCTGGATGGCCGGCCGTCCTGCCGCGGTCAAGGCTGCAAACCGCAGCGATTGACAGCTACAGCACCTCACCGGTGCAGGTCTTGTCGCGGCGCGCGCCGTCGCGGCGGCAACCGCAGCATGCACAGGCCCCGCCAACAGGGGCTGCTCTGCTAACCCACAGTGTCCGTACAGGAAGGTCCGTACCGGAGGGGCCTCGCAGATACTATTTGGTATCTTCACAGGAAGTATCTCAGCCGATCGTCGCTCTTCATGCGCGTGTACACCTCCAGAATATCGTCAGCGCTCGACACGAGCACGGGGCCGACGGTCACGCTCACATAGCGGCCGCCTGCGCAATGGTTTAAGGTAAGCGCGAGGAGCGTTGGGCGCACTCGTGAGACGTTGCGAGCAGGTTCGACCCCTCGTTTGCCCGATGGGCAACCACAGCGCACAGCTGGCAACAAGGCGAGCCCGTGGGGCGCCGAACATGGGGCCTCGCGAAGGGGGAGAGGGGGACGCACTTGTGGACTGGCGCTGCGTGACGCGCTCGACGTGGCCGACCACCGCCTGCACGGCGTTGACCATTGACTGGCGGAAGCTGCTGCCGCCCGACCCGATGGCGGTGAACTCTCGCAAGTGAGGGTACACGTTGACCCGCTTGTCGATGCAGCGCCTGGCAGTGGAGGTGACGAGGAGGGAGTCAACAGAGGGAAGCAGTGCATACCAGAGATCGCACCGCGCAGGGGTTGCCAGCAGGCACGCCCTGCGCAACGGCGTGTGATGCTCAGTGGTGACAGCAACGGCCTGCAGGCGTCCCACAGGCGGCGCCGCCGGCACCGTCGCCGCAGCGAGCACAGTCGCTGCAGCACAGGCGGCACCGCGGCGGCCATCTGGGTGCCGAAGCCCCTGAGGGGCCCATGGCCCTTGCACCCACCAAGCCTCCTCGCTGTTGTCAACCCCAAGGACCATATTCACAGACGTCGCGGCGCGCCCGCTCGCCCGGTGGACGCCTGCGACGGGGACCAAGGCGAGGGCGCAACCATCGGTTTGCGCTCGCGGCGCCGGAGCGGGCGCGGGGGCCGCGAGGGCGGGCGGGCGCAGAGATGTCATCACCGTCAGCGTGCGAGCCTCTGAAACGAGCGTGTCGGAAGAAGCAACGGACGTGCTGCTTGCAGGCACCGTGGGCCCATGTGCTTGAAGCCGTCAGGCGCCCTGCACACACCGGACAGGCTGTGGATCAGCGCCTCCCCCGCCTTGTGGGTTGGCGCCAAGTGTGATGAGCGCCCGACGGCATCACCCTCTCCGCGCCTGGGTGCAGAGCAGGCTACGGTCACTAGGGCCCGGCTAGACGTGCCACTACGAGCCAGGTTCGCCCTCGAGTGCATCTGCAAGGGGGCCATCTCGTTGTTGAGGCTGCGCTGGGTTACGGGCTTTCAACGGAGATCTCAAAAGGGCCTAGGCGTGCTATGAGGCTAGAGGTCAGGGAGCGACCTGAGTTGAAATATTTAAGATGTCAACCTTTGTAACTCAGCAGCTTTGTGCAAGGTGTCCAGCTGCCCGCCCGAAGCTGCTCTCGACACCCGCCGCTGACAAGCGCAGCTAGGCTTTTTACCACTGCCTTCTAGCGTTCGGGATTGTTTTACTGTTTCCTATAGAACGCTTTCCAAGCAGTCCACTCTTTGTCTGATCCATCCTGACCGCGGCCTGAGCCTTGGATCAAGCTCGATCACAGGAACATGAGCGGGGTGAGGATTCATATCTAGTGGCACGTGTTGCTGCTAGGGGAGCAAGCTCCTGCTCCCATCGGCACATCAACAAACAGCAACTCCTCCTCGTCCGTGCTCATTGAAACGCAGGCTGGCGGTGGTGCAGCTCGGAGCACCAGCATGGGTGATCATGGCGGTCTCGGATGCGTTGCCGCCGCTGTCTGGAGGCGTGCACAATTGCGCGCTGCAGTCATTACCCACCGCTCTGTTGCCAAGCGCCGCTGGTGCCATGCCCGATGCAGGCACCTGCCCCATACCCTACCCGGACCGCTTCCACGTAGCGAAGTACTTTGTGTCAAAACTTCCAGGTGTGTTCTGCCGGGTGTGGTCCAGCAGTGCGGCAGCGCGTCCTTTACATAGCCACCAGCGCCGCAGTCCATTGGTGACGCGGTGGCCGGCTCCCAGTGCCAGGCTTATCCAAAGCAGCTAGTAGTTGCGCCCCCTCAGCTGCTGCTCGTCCGTGCCATGCGTGACTGCAGGCGACGCCATCAAGGACGAGCCGAAGCTGCTGCTGTATGCGCTGAGCCAGCAGGCCGTCCTGGGCCCCAACACATCGCCGCAGCCGTGGGGGTGGAACGTCGTGGACAGCGCGAAATGGCAGAGCTGGAGCCAGCTGGTGCGCAATGTGTGCGCGTGTGTGTGCGTGGGGGTTGGTTGGTGGGTGGGCTGATGGATGCGCACGTGCGTGAGTGCGTGCACGCGTGCGTGTTGAGTGGGTGAGTGCGCTTGTGAGGGTGTGCATGCGCGCTCACTCGTGACGTGGTGTGAGAGTGCATGCAGCGTGCTCCTGCTTGAGCATAACACGAAATCCGGGACAACGGCACGGCTGCGGTGGGGCTGAGATGGTGTGGCGCAGGTCTTGCGAACTCAAAGCAGCTGCACCCCTACGCGAGGCGTGGCCGAAGGCAACGCTGCAGAGTTGTCAAAGCAGCACGCGCCAAGCTGTCGGTAGGGCCCTCCAAGCAGGCGGGCCTTGCACCATCGTTTGCGCTCAACTTTCTGAGCGCTTCTGCACGTTTCGCCACGCCTGTGCTGTGGTGGACAGGGCAAGATGGCGCGGCTTGAGGCGATGCGGCTGTATGTCAAGACACTGGATGAGGAGCAGGTGTGTGTGTGTGTGTGTGTGTGTGTGTGTGTGTGTGTGTGTACGCTCGTCTGTGTGCGCCCCTTGCGTGGAAGCGTCTTGTTTGGAGTGCGTCAGTGTATGTGGGCGCGGTCAGAATGTGCCCGCGGGGTGGCGGTGGCAAATCAGTGATGAGTGAGAGCGTTCGGGGGGTAGGCAGAGGCGTGGCAGTGGTGGCAGCAGCCGTGAGCAGCGGGAGGCAGCCCAGCAGGCGCTGTAGAAGCCTTCCCGGCTCAAATTGCGCGCCGCCCATCCTCCGCGCCTCGTCCTCGCAGCCTGAGTGGTGGGACCGCCTGCCAGACGGCTGGGAGGCGGCCGCGGCCGAGGCGGCCAGCGCGGGCGCCCTCGCAGCGGGCGCGCCGGGCGCCGCAGCGGCGAACGGCGGGGCGCCGTCCGCGGGCGGCGCCGCCAGCATCAGCAACGTACTGCAGGAGGGCGCATGGGTCGTGATCCAGGTGCGCTGCCGTGACCTGGGATGGTCCGCGGCCATGATTCGCAGCAGACGTCGCGCGATTGCCGCGCCAGCAGCGGGTGGGCTGCCATGCCTCAAGAACTGATCACACCATAATCGGGCTGTCTGCCCTCTGACAGTCGACAAGCGCGTTCCTGCTGTTTTTCCACCCCGCTCCCGGATCCAATGCGCCGCCCCGCCCCGCCAGGACGACGGCCGCAAGCCGCTGCCTCGGTATGAGCAGGGGGCGGCGCTGCTGGGGACTCAGGTCTTCATGCTCGGCGGGCACTATGGTAATTCAAAGGGCCCGGGGGGTGGGACAAGGGAAACTCCGGGAATGCGGAAAGGGGGCTGCAGTGTGCGCGGCTGCGACGAGCGTATTGAAGCCGTAAGCCGCCGCGGCCTTCCCGGACGCTGGCCGGCAGCAGAGGGGACCCGAACGCGGCGCGCCGCGTGCTTCTTTTGGCGCTCCGGGGCTCCGGCCGTTGCGGGCTGACGCGCGCTTCATGGCGCTCGCGTCGCAGCGGGGCGCTACCTGGAGGACTTTTGGATCTATGATCTGGGCACCCTCCAATGGTCCCAGGCGCGGGCCACCGCGGCGGCTGCGGCGGCGGCAGGACAGGGGGAGGATGGCAGTGGCGGCGGCGGCGAGGGCGCGGCGCTGCTGGCGGCCGCGGCGCTGCCGCCGAGCGCGGGTCACTCGGTGACGGTCTGGGGGGAGCGGCTGCTGGTCCTGGGCGGACACACCAAGGTGCGGGGACAGCAGGGCCTTTGCCGATCTGTTCTGATATCACGAAACAAAAAGTCTTCTGGGCGATGAGAGACACTATTTGGGAACAAAAGGCTGCGGCGTGCTTGGGCGTCGTTGCCGGCGCCTCTTCCTGTCACCGCGGATGCGCTGCAGACCCCGCCGCCTTTTTCCCAGCACAACCTGCTACCAGCGAAGCGTGCCAGCGCCGCCAAGCCCCCCTCTAAGCTTGTGTTATTTCCTGTAAACCAACAACACACGCGCGCGCGCGCACACACACACACACACACACACACACACACACGCACGCGCGCGCGCACCCACCAGGACAAGAATCCCAAGGCCAAGATCGCCGCGCGCGTGCTGGACCCCTCCACAATGGAGTGGAGCGCCCTCGCCACGACCGGCCAGGCGCCATGCGCACGCGGCGGCCATTCGGTGCGTCTTCTACTCCTCACCCCACCCCCACGCCCACACCCTTCACAAGCACTTTCTGCATCCCTGCTTGCTCTCCCTGAAACATCGCGGCTGGTGGACGCGAAGCGGCTGTTTGTTTCATGGGTGTGGCCGCTGCGCCGAGGCCCGCCAAGCAGCCGCCGACCCCTCAGCTGCCGCGCCGCGCCGCAGGCCACGCTGCTGGGCGAGAAGCTGTATGTCTTTGGAGGCGAGGACTGCAGCCGCTGCCCGCTGGCTGACCTGTTTGTCCTCGACCTGGCCACCCTGGCGTGGACCAAGCTGGAGCCGCCGGGCAAGCAGCACGCCAAGCCGCCACCGCGCTGCGGCCACGCGGCCGTCGTGTGCCGCGACAAGCTCATCGTCTTCGGCGGTGCGCCTCCGCGCGCGCGCCGCGCCGCCGGGCGGGCCCGCTGTGCGACCAACGGCACGCGGCAGGCGGCGCCTCCTTTACCCAGGTGCTTCACACAACCTCTCCCCTAGCGCACAGCGTGCATCGGAACAGGCGCCTGGGAACCGCCCGAGATCCGCCCCCGAAAATCGTACCCCGAAAAACCGCCCGCAGGCGGCTCCATCGCCAGCTGCCTGAACGACTGCTGGCTGCTCGACCTGGACACACTCCACTGGACGCGGCCCTCGGTTTCTGGGGACATCCCCGCGCCGCGCGCCGGCCACGCGAGCGTCCTGGTGGGGGACCTGTGGTACGTCCTCGGCGGCGGCAACAACGTCAAGGG